TTCCCAGGTGTATATAATCATGTATCTCTCCCTCCTGCGTTCCAGGGAATACAGGTTTAGGAAACCTCAAGCGCTCCCAGTAATTGAGGTGTTTTATCTCTGTTATGCGCCCCGTGAAAGTTCTCTGTACATTTTCTAGGTCGGCAATTTCACCTGCCTTGAAAGGTGCTGTTAGTGTGCAGCAATATTCCAGCCTAGATAGAACAAGTGACCTGAAGAGTGTCATCATGGGCTTGGCCTCCCTAGTTTTGAAGGCTCTCATTATCCATCCTGTCATTTTTCTAGCAGATGCGTTGATACAATGTTATGGTCCTTGAAGGTGAGATCCTCCGACATGATCACTCCCAGGTCTTTGACGTTGGTGTTTCGCTCTATTTTGTGGCCAGAATTTGTTTTGTACTCTGATGAAGATTTAATTTCCTCATGTTTACCATATCTGAGTAATTGAAATTTCTCATCGTTGAACTTCATATTGTTTTCTGCAGCCCACTGAAAGATTTGGTTGATGTCCGCCTGGAGCTTTGCAGTGTCTGCAATGGAAGACATGTCATGCAGATTCGGGTGTCATCTGCAAAGGAAGACACGGTGCTGTGGCTGACACCCTTTGTCTATGTCGGATATGAGGATGAGGAACAAGATGGGAGCGAGTACTGTGCCTTGTGGAACAGAGCTTTTCACCGTGCCTGCCTCGGACTTTACTCTGTTGACTACTACTCTCTGTGTTCTGTTAGTGAGGAAATTATAGATCCATCGACCGACTTTTCCTGTTATTCCTTTAGCACGCATTTTGTGCGCTATTACGCCATGGTCACACTTGTCGAAGGCTTTTGAAAAGTTGTATATATTACATCTGCATTCTTTTTGTCTTCTAGTGCATTTAGGACCTTGTCGTAGTGATCCAATAGTCGAGACAAACAGGAGCGACCTGTTCTAAACCATGTTGCCCTGGGTTGTGTAACTGATGAGTTTCTAGATGGGGGTGATCTTGCTTCTTAGGACCCTTTCAAAGATTTTTATGATATGGGATGTTAGTGCTATTGGTCTGTAGTTCTTTGCTGTTGCTTTACTGCCCCCTTTGTGGAGTGGGGCTATGTCTGTTGTTTTTAGTAACTGTGGACGACCCCCGTGTCCATGCTCCCTCTCCATAGGATGGAAAAGGCTCGTGATAGGGGCTTCTTGCAGTTCTTGATGAACACAGAGTTCCATGAGTCTGGCCCTGGGGCAGAGTGCATGGGCATGTCATTTATCGCCTGTTCGAAGTCATTTGGCGTCAGGATAACATCGGATAGGCTTGTGTTAATCAAATTTTGTGGCTCTCTCATAAAAAATTCATTTTGATCTTCGACTCTCAGTCTGGTTAGCGGCTTGCTAAAAACTGAGTCATATTGGGACTTGAGTAGCTCACTCATTTCCTTGAGATGTCATCTGTGTAGGACCCATCTTGTTTAAGTAGGGGCCCAATACTGGACGTTGTTCTCGATTTTGATTTGGCATAGGATTTCATTTATGGCTTTTAGTTCTTCCCGCGATTCCTGACTCCTAAAGGATTCTTTTAGCTTAAGTTCGATGCTTGCTATTTCTCTGACCAGTGTCTCCCTACGCATTTCAGATATATTGACCTCTTTTAGCCGCTCTGTTATTCTTTTCCGTCGCCTGTAAAGGGAGCGCCTGTCTCTTTCTATTTTACATCTACTCCTCCTTTTTCTTAGAGGAATAAGCCTTGTGCATACATCGAGTGCCACCGAGTTAATCTGTTCTAGGCATAAGTTGGGGTCTGTGTTGCTTAGTATATCTTCCCAGCTTATATCGGTTAGGACTTGGTTTACTTGGTCCCACTTTATGTTTTTGTTATTGAAGTTGAATTTGGTGAATGCTCCCTCGTGACTAGTCTCATTATGTCGGTCTGGGGCTCCACGCATACATGTCTGAACCTCAATTATGTTGTGATCTGAGTATATTGTTTTTGGATATGGTGACATTTCTTATCAGATCATCATTGTTAGTGAAGATGAGGTCTAGTGTATTCTCCAGTCTAGTAGGCTCTATTATTTGCTGGTTTAAATTGAATTTTGTGGAAGTTTTAGCAGTAAAGATCGAGAACCAAAACCTAGTCATTGTGGTAGTCTACAAGCCTCCGGATGCAACACCCCAGAAATTTTCCAGGAACAGCTGTTAAAAATTGACCACTGTCTGGAAAATCTTCCAGCTTCTGCACCCAACATCTTGCTCCTGGGGGATTTCAACTTAAGGCACCTAAAATGGAGGAATATAGCAAATAATATTGTTGCAGTAATAACACCAGAGGCAGCTCTGATGAAAACTCACACTCACACGAGCTTTTAAATCTCTGCACAAAATTCAATTTAACCAGCAAAAAATAGAGCCTACTAGAATGGAGAATACACTAGACCTCATCTTCACTAACAATGATGTCTGATAAGAAATGTACCATATCAAAAACAATATACTCAGATCACAACATAATTGAGGTTCAGACATGTATGCGCAGAGCCCCAGACCGACAAAATGAGATTAATCACGAGGGAGCATTCACCAAATTCAACTTCAATAACAAAAACATAAAGTGGGACCAAGTAAACCAAGTCCTAACCGATATAAGCTGGGAAGATATACTAAGCAACACAGACCTCAACTTATGCCTAGAACAGATTAACTTGGTGGCACTCGATGTATGCACAAGACTTATTCCTCTAAGAAAAAGGAGGAGTAGATGTAAAATAGAAAGAGACAGGCGCTCTCTTTACAGGCGACGGAAAAGAATAACAGAGCGGCTAAAAGAGGTCAATCTATCTGAAATGCGCAGGGAGACACTGGTCAGAGAAATAGCAAACATCGAACTTAAGCTAAAGGAATCTTATAGGAGTCAGGAATCGCGGGAAGAACTAAAAGCCATAAATGAAATCGAAAGAAACCCAAAGTATTTCTTCTCCAATGCCAAATCAAAGTCGAGAACAACGTCCAGTATTGGGCCCTTACTTAAGCAAGATGGGTCCTACACAGATGACAGCAAGGAAATGAGTGAGCTACTCAAGTCCCAATATGACTCAGTTTTTAGCAAGCCACTAACCAGACTGAGAGTCGAAGATCAAAATTAATTTTTTATGAGAGAGCCACAGAATTTGGTTAACACAAGCCTATCTGATGTTATCCTGATGCCAAATGACTTCGAACAGACGATAAATGACATGCCCATGCACTCTGCCCCAGGGCCAGACTCATGGAACTCTGTGTTCATCAAGAACTGCAAGAAGCCCCTATCACGAGCCTTTTCCATCCTATGGAAAGGGAGCATGGACACGGGGGTCGTCCCACAGTTACTAAAAACAACAGACATAGCCCCACTCCACAAAGGGGGCAGTAAAGCAACAGCAAAGAACTACAGACCGATAGCACTAACATCCCATATCATAAATATCTTTGAAAGAGTCCTAAGAAGTAAGATCACCACCCATCTAGAAACCCATCAGTTACACAACCCAGGGCAACATGGGTTTAGAACAGGTCGCTCCTATCTGTCTCAACTATTGGATCACTACGACAAGGTTCTAGATGCACTAGGGAAAACAAAAAGAATGCAGAGTGTAATATTATACAGACTTTGCAAAAGCCTTCGACAAGTGTGACCATGGCGTAATAGCGCACAAAATGCGTGCTAAAGGAATCTATAATGGATGGATCTATAATTTCCTCACTAACAGAACACAGAGAGTAGTAGTCAACAGAGTAAAGTCCGAGGCAGGCACGGTGAAAAGCTCTGTTCCACAAGGCACAGTACTCGCTCCCATCTTGTTCCTCATCCTCATATCTGACATAGACAAGGATTGTCAGTCACAGCACCGTGTCTTCCTTTGCAGATGACACACGAATCTGCATGACAGTGTCTTCCATTGCAGACACTGCAAGGCTCCAGGCGGACATCAACCAAATCTTTCAGTGGGCTCCAGAAAAACAATATGAAGTTCAACGATGAGAAATTTCAATTACTCAGATATGGTAAACACGAGGAAATTAAATCTTCATCAGAGTACAAAACAAATTCTGGCCACAAAATAGAGCGAAACACCAACGTCAAAGACCTGGGAGTGATCATGTCGGAGGATCTCACTTCAAGGACCATAACATTGTATCGATCGCATCTGCTAGAAAAATGGGCAGGATGGATAATGAGAACCTTCAAAACGAGGGATGCCAAGCCCATGATGACACTCTTCAGGTCACTTGTTCTATCTAGGCTGGAATATTGCTGCACACTAACAGCACCTTTCAACTCAGGTGAAATTGCTGACCTAGAAAATGTACAGAGAACCTTCACGGCGCGCATAACGGAGATAAAACACTCAGTTACTGGGAGCATTGAGGTTCCTGAACCTGTATTCCCCGGAACGCAGGCAGGAGAGATACATGATTATATACACCTGGAAAATCCTAGAGGGACTAGTACCGAACTTGCACACGAAAATCACTCACTACGAAAGCAAAAGACTTGGCAGACGATGCACCATCCCCCCAATGAAAAGCAGGGGTGTCACTAGCACGTTAAGAGACCATAGAATAAGTGTCAGGGGCCCGAGACTGTTCAACTGCCTCCCAGCATACATAAGGGGGATTACCAACAGACCCCTGGCAGTCTTCTAGCTGGCACTGGACAAGCACCCAGAGGCCTGGTCACAGACCGGGCCGCGGGGGCGTTGACCCCCGGAACTCTCTCCAGGTAAACGAGTGATGACTTCACTCCTGAAGAAGACACTCGAGGCGAAACATCTATAATAAATATCTTGAACTGTACATAAAGTGTCTTTTTCCATATCTCTCCTAATTCCATCCAAATTTGGATTCTTTTATTTCTCACGCGCACTCCTATTAAACACTTTCGGCAACATTAATAGTATATTGTATTTTATAACATATTTTAAGCATAAAATTCAACCGGATAACAGATATTTGTGATGAGAAATAATGTTAATATTTAAGAGGTTGAGCAGTGGCCGGCAGGAGGCGGGACGAAGCTGGTCATGGCTCTCCAGAGGAATATTTTTATGGGTGAGGATGACTTTATGTGCTGTGAACTTATGTTCATGTGTTATTTACCTCCATCGTGATGCACATATATGAGTCTTGGTGGTAAAGCTATTAAAATGACCCACCTTGACCTCCATACATCAGTGTTGACAACAGTCAGCTGATCACCAGTAAATATCACTCCGGCGGGTTTAATTAATATATTCCCTTATAGGTTTAACGCTTAGTTATGATTATAATACTAGTGATATTAATGTATTATGCCATGAGGCTGATACCTTCATGCCAGTGAAGGGCTCTTGATCCAGGGAATTGGACCTATTTCCCTTTTTCCTTGGTAGCTCTCTTATGGCTTTAGCGCTTAGTTATGATTATAATAATACTCATCCTTGGTAGCTTCCTCACCTCACACTGAGAACCTTTAAAAACTAGGGACGCCAAGCCCATTATTCTCTTCAAATTCTAAAATCTTTAGGCTGGAATACTGCTGTAACAGCCTGGTTGATCAGGCCCTGATCAACCATTAGGCCTGGTCACAGACCGGGTCACAGGGGCGTTGACCCCCGGAACTCTCTCTAGGTATACTCCAGGTAAACTAACTGCCCCCTTCAAGGTAGGCGAAATTGCTGACGTGGAGAGTGTACAGATAAATTTCACGGCACAAAAGTATGGTTAATGCACCTAAATTACTGGGAACGACTGAAGGCCCTTGATTTGTATTCCCTGGAATGCAGGGGAGAGAGAGATGATAAAATACACTTGGAAAATCCTACAGGGATTAGTACCAAACTTGCACATGAAACTCATTCCCTACAAAAGCAGGAGTTGCAACATTCCTCTAATGAAAAGCAGGGGTTTCACGAGTACACTAAGACAACACAAAAAGTGTCGAGCCAAAGACTGTTCAACTGCCTCCCAGCATACATAAGGCAGATTACCAATAGACCCCTGGCTGTCTTCAAGAAGGTGCTGGACAGGCCCCTAAAGTTAGTACTTGTACTTGATCAGCCGGGCTGTGGTTCTTACGTCGGTTTATGTGCGGCCAGCAGTAACAGCCTGGTTGATCAGACCCTGATCCACCATGAGGCCTGGTCTCAGACCAGGATGCGGGGGCATTGACCCTCGAAACCCTCTCCAGGTAAACCATCCCTGTCCAGGCCAGGTACCCCAAGACACTGTTAAACCTTTACGGACACATACACGACTTTAGCTCATTCCTCACAAATTTAATAATACTGAAAAATAATAGTAATGTATGTAATAACAACAGCTATGGTTTACAACTTACACTAGGTAAAACTCGGGCACTAGTTTACATTTTACAGTACACACAACCTATGCACTCCATGGCTAAAATATACAAGTATTTCTTGTGCACATTGTTCTTTTGGGAGATCTTAGTGAAAATAGTACATTTATTTTGGTTGAGCACAATATCTGAAGCAATCAGTGCTTAGTCTTGAGTCATATATGCCTGGCCTGATGTAGGCAAAAAAACATGTCTACCGATGGCTTCTTGTCAAGGAAAGTTCTTTGAGGATGTGGTGGGGGTGCTCTTAATCTAAGGGGATAGAGGATGTTGGTGGGTGTAGAGAGAAAGGCGAAGGGTGGGGAGGGTTGGTGTTAGTGATGGTGAAGTATGGGACGTGTGCAACATTTGGGAACTTTTATTGTGGAAACATTTTGTCAACTAGTGGCTTCTTCAGTCCAATACAGAGAATGGTGGAATATGAGGAGTTTGAGGTAATCAGTCCTTCGGCACGAAGTCAGTGTGTTTCAGTCCATCATGTTAGTGATGGTGCTGGGGAGGTGGGAACTGGCTTAGAGTTGGTCCAACTGAGATAAGGGTCAAGGTTGCATCTGGAAGAGTTCCCTGAGTTAGGATGTTCCCACCTTCTGGCCTCTTGTCTGCTGTTTTTCTCTGCTCAGATTTTTATATTATCCTTTGTTATGGACGGGCTGCAGGGGCGTTGACCCCTCCCGGAACGCCCTCCAGGTAGCTGTTTTCTCTGCTTCATCTTCCTGTCCTGATCTTGGTAGACATGACTGTAGTGTTTAGGTGTGCTTTCTGTTGTAATATCCTGTATGAGGTGGGGGTGGGTCGGTCGGTCTGTATGAGTGGGTGTGGTTGGGTGTCTAACATAGACCATTAGGCCTACTGCAATGTTCTTTTATTCTTATTTTGGCTATAATTGAAGGCTACTCCTTGGTGGAACTTGGACATTATTTTATCTTTTGCACCATATAGTGAGCGGTCATCATCATGGAATACTGTAAATACAGTGGAACCTTGTTTTTCGTTTGCCCTGGTTTTTGTCTAATTCGGTTTTTGATGACTTTCGTCAAAATTTTGTCCCAGTTTTCATTCATCACCTCGGTTTTCGTCCACTGTACCGAACGTGTCCGCCTGCCCATACCCACACAAAGCTTCCCACGTACACGTCCTGAGTCAGTTTGGCTTTGTTTCTCGTTGAGTGAACATTACCCTGTGCTTTCATACAAAACATTTCGTAATAATCCATTATTTTTTGTTTGTTTATTGAGTGCAACTGCTAAGTAAGCCACCTTGGGGCCAAAGAAAGTTCCAAGTGCCAGCCCTTTGATAAAGAAGGCGAGAAATTGTGGCCAGAATGTGTTCAAGATAAGGATTTTGAAGGATTTGAGACTGACCCTGACAATCCTTTGCCTGTTGTAGAATCTGTTGTGGCTTTGGGGAAATCAGTGGGGTTGGATGTGAGTGGCCAGGATGTGGAAGATTTGGCGGATGACCACAGGGAAGAGCTAACCACTGAAGAGCACCTTCAACTGGAACAGCAACAGATCACAGCTGAGGAAATTGCTTCAGAGGAGGAGGAAGAGAGAGGGGAAAATGTGCCTTCTTCAGTTACTAAGGACATGTGTGCAAAGTGGAATGAGTTGCAAAGTTTTGTGGAGAAATTTCATCCTAACAAAACTGTTGCAAGCTGCATCTGCAGCATGTTCAATGACAATGCCTTGCCCCATTTCAGGCAAATCTTAGAGATGCCAGAAACAGACCTCTCTGGACATGTTTTGTGTGATAGGGGTCCAGTGACTCAAGCTGGTCCTAGTGGCATTAAAAGATGAAGAAGGGAAGTAACTCCAGATAGGGACTTGATACCTGAAGTCCTTATGGAAGGGGATTCCCCTTCCAAACAATAACCTCTCCTCCCTCTCCCCTCCTTGCCGTCTTCCATACGCCAACGAGTCTTCAGTAAAGGTAAAAGTTATGTCAAATGTTCATTTATCCATTTCATTAGTCCTTTATATTTATTTCTCATTGTTTTCTGTATGTAAAACTATATTCTCTATAAAATGTATTTTTTGTTAATACTTTTGGGTGTCTGGAACAGATTAATTGGATTTACACTATTTCTTATGGGAAATGTTGCTTCAGTTTTCATCGAATTTGGTTTTCATCAGACTTAAAACTGAAGTTCAACTGTATTTATTTATTCAGCATAATTGACATAGTATATAACAGATTATGAAAAGCTCCTGGTTATGCAGAGCAATGACCCAATTAGGGTCATTAAAGTTAAAATGGAGAGGGGTTGGATTTAAGAAGATCCTGCCTAGCTTGGGCTAGTAGGCCTGCTACAGTGCCTCTCCAATTTTTTTTTTTTTTTTTTTTTTTTTTTTTTTTTTTTTTTATATCTACCTGTTGAACATTTATGTAAATTAGAAAAAATTATAGTTTTTGTTCTGTTTTATTTATTTTTTAAGGGTATGGAGTGGGTGTAAAGGCTGGAGTTTTAGCTGGCGTTCAGCAGCGCTACTCCTCATCGGATGTGCGCTTCCTGATGAAACCCAACCCTTCTGCCCTCAAGAAAGGCCGAGGAGGGCGCTCTTCCTTTTCTGGTAATGTGGCCACAGTATTTGGTGCTTCTGGATTCATTGGACGTTACGTGTGTAACCGGTTGGGGAAGACTGGAACCCAGGTGAGCTCGGTTTGGTTAGGTTAGGTTAGGTTAGGTTGTATGTATAGCACATGTCTCTTTCTGAATTTAAAGAATTCAGAATATATTACAGCTCTAGTACAGTATTTTGAAGCTTATATGATCTTCCAATAAGAGCAAAATATTGTAGTTAGAATTTTATTCATAATTTTCTGAAATTTTTAATTCCAGATGTGTACTGTTTTCTAGGGGTTATTCTTTTTGCCCAGATGGTTTCCAGTTAGTGATATCTTTGTAGGATTGTTTTGCTTTAATTTTTACTTGTATGTTTTTATATGTAAGTGCAATACAGTAATAAGCTATTCCGTATAATTCGTAAAAGGTGGGAAAGACTTTGAACTTCATAAGCCATGTATTGAAGTACATAGAATCATTGTTGATTGCAGTTCAGTACTTCAATGAATATCTTAACAAGCTGCAAGTCTTTTGCACCTGCTGTGAATTATATTTCTTCAAGCTTAGTCATCTTTACATAGACTATTCAAGTGTTGTCCTTTTCTATTGAATACAGAACTATTAGCAATGCTTGTTAAGAAAAAGTTCATTGATCTTTCTGGTAGTATTAGATTTACTAATTTTTTAAATGCCAATGAAAAGCTGTGCCAAAACCTGATATAAGAATTTCTTGTGTGCTCAGGATTTTAAGATAGGCTTGTGAGAAGGGTAGGAGCAATTTTTTTTTTTTTTTTTGTGTGTGTGTGTGTGTGTGTGTGTGTGTGTGTGTGTGTGTGTGTGTGTGTGTGTGTGTGTGTGTGTGTGTGTGTGTGTAGGTGTAGGTGTGTGTAGGTGTAGGTGTAGTGTAGTAATTTGTATCTGGGATCTTATTTGTAACTACAGGAGGGCCTCACTTATACAGCAGGTTAAGTTCCAGGCTACCACTGTAAAGGCAGGAAGAGGTAGTGGTTGTAGTAGTAGTAGTAGTACTGGTAGTAGAAGTAGTAGTGGTAGTAGTGGGGAATGAGGAGGAGGAGCTAGTGAAATACAAAGAAAGGGGAGCACTGCAAGGGAGCTAGGTGCCCACAGAGGGAGAGCAAGTGCACAGAGGTGGGTGAAAGGGGAAGTGGTGAAATAAATAATGAAGGAACAGAAACACGAGACAGAAGAAAGAAAGACAACCCAGAGGAGGAAAGGGGAAGAGGGAGAAGAAGAAGAAAAAAAGAAAAAATGAGGAGTCAGGTTAAGTCACGGGTGTTCTGAAGTTTGGAGCATTTTACAATGTAGTGGGAGAGGAAGGCATCTACAGAGGCGAAGCCAGGGCTAAGATTCATACAAGGAAAGTTGTGTATTAGAGAGGATTCAACTAGACGGCGACTGTTAGAGTTGGAAGTAGGGAAGACAGTTTTAGCAGAAGACCAGTCAATAGGATGGCTATGATCTCTGACGTGACAGAAAAGAGCATTGTTAGTGTCGGCAAGCCTAACACTATTTTTGTGCTCCCTAAGTCTGTCATTGTAAAGTGACTCATAGCTTTTTTTTTACTTTCAAATGCATATAAAAGCTTGATAATATATTTACACTATCACATAGAGTGAGCAATATAGCTAGACCTAAAAAATGCATAAGCAGTACACCCATTATTTACCTTCAAATATTTTCATCCTTAGCTTATAGTGAGTGGTGAATATATTGTAAGAATTCTGAATAAATGAGAATAGGTATAATTGAAAACTGCTGTATTAGCAAAATGCTGTACATCAAAGCACTGTACAGTGGGGCCTGGCTGTTTTATGTTTAATTTTAAGTGAGTTTGTTTTTTATAAATTTCATAATAGCTTGAAACGTGCTAAAAATAAGGCCACAGTGCAGACTATCAATCACTACTCAGGGCTTTGGAGTATCACTTTAACATTGTTGCTTTGCTTCCCTTGAAGGTTACTCATCAAGGCCAGTTGTTGATGCACTGCCTGATTTTGGTAAGTGGGTGGAGAATCTTGAGTGCATAATAATCATGTTTTGATTTTCCTTATAGATTATAATCCCGTATCGTGGTGATCACTATGATGTTCTGCGGCTGAAGCTAGTTGGTGACTTGGGTCAGGTGCTCTTCATGTTTTACAATCTGTGTGATGAAGATGCCATACGTAAAGCCATCAAGCATTCTAATGTTGTCATCAACCTTGTGGGACGTGACTGGGAAACCATGAATTTTTCATTTAAGCAAGTAAGTTAAATGAAACAAATGCATAGGAAACCTAAATGATTATCATTATTGGTACAGTTATACATGTTGCTGTATTCAGAATTTGGATATAATCTTCTTGAATTTTTTTTTTTTTCTAGTTTTTATTTTATTTGTTTGGTTTGGTATTAGTTTGAAAAGTCATTTGGAAGGGAGGGGTGGCAAAATGTACAGAAATGAGGTAATATGAGGAAGAGGGAGGATGGAGAAAAAAAAGTGGAAGAATATCATGACATATGGAAGCTTTTATATAGATGGAGATAGAATGCAACAAAAGCTTGCTTCATCTGTTATTATGCTGTCTAATATAAGAATACTGGTGTATTGATTAGGTTATAAATAAATGCATATTTCATGTTTTATAGAATTTTATTTACAGGTTCATGTGGAAGGTGCTGAGCGTTTAGCCAGGCTTAGTAAGGAAATGGGGGTTGAAAGATTTATCCACTTGTCTGCACTGAACTCCAATGTTGAGCATGAGGTATGTAGTACTGCATACATAAAATTTTAAAGCAGGTATCTGATTTAACCCTCTTTAAGAAATAAGATTAAGAACATTGTAATATACTGTATAATAATTCTAAATATCGAAGTCATCAACATTCTGTATTCATTTCCCACTTTTGTACAGTAAAGCATTTATTTAATGGATTTTTAAAGTAATGGGCAAAATATGCTGGGTATATTGATTTCAGAAACAATAGTCTGTTGGCTACAGAATTTTCCGTTATTGTTATAATCCACAGGGTAAATTAATTTCTGAAGAAAAAGACAATGTTTGCTGGTTGCAGAATTGATCTGTTGTTATAATGTGTGGTAGACCTGTGACTAGTTTTCAGCGTCTTCCTGCTTATGCAGCCCAGCCTGCAGTTAAATTCCTTTGGTGCTTGTTTAGTTAACCAGGCTGTTATTGTTGGCAACCTGCTGGCTGACATATCCATCACTTAGGTTAAGTAAGGTTTTTCAGGAAGCAGGACAAGTGTTTCCTGACTCAGGTGTTAGTCATATGATGACCCACCGCTGGGGTTTTTGGTCATCTGATTGAGGCCTTCTGCTAACTGGTTGAATAGGCACTTGCTGGAGGGTAGAGATCCAATTTTCTTTTGAGGACTTTTAGGCTTTTTTTTGCAGTGTATTTCTAATATCTGCTGATAGTATGTTGAATAACCTAGGCACACAGATGTTGATAGTGTTCTTGTGTTGTGCCCAGAATACCCCTGCTTTTCACTGGATTAATTTTATACTTCCTCCTATCTCTCTCTACACTACATTGTTATGGTAGTGTGTAGCTTTAGGACTAAGCACTCCAAAATGTTCCACATGTGTATTATCATGTATCCCTCCTTTCCCTTTGCTCCAGATAGTTTGAATGTTGTACTGACTTTATGCTGGCAGTAAATGGTTTCTGTATCTGTTTCAGCTCTCTTTTTTACCTTGAATGGATCCACCATCACTGAACAGTACCCATTTCTGAATGTTATTATCCACTCTGTCATTTTTCTGCCTTGTGTGACACTTGCCTTACTGAGTTCTCTGAATGATAGGTCAGCTGATATTATTATAACTAGGTATTTTATATGTTATTTTTGTTCTCTTAGCTTATACTCCTACATTTTGGACATGGTGCCCCTTTTGAGTTGTTCATTTTTACAATGGAGCAATTGGAATTTGTCGCTACTGAACATCATGTTATTCTCTGCTTACTTTGCTCATACTGTATCCTCTTGCAATTTTCCCAAAGGGCAGAATCCTGAAGACCATATGTTAGGGCACTGAGCTCTTGACTTTCCTGAGGCTAAATCTTGTTTTGTTTACTACTGTTGTTTGTGATTTGTTTGTCAGAAAATTGAATAACGGCCTTTTGCATAATTGTCCTGTTACACCTGTTGACCATATTTTGTGTGCTTTCACTCCATGATTGTACTTGTCAGATTTTTTTTTTTTAACAAGTCGGCCGCCTCCCACCGAGGCAGAGTGACCCAAAAAGAAAGAAGAAATCCCCAAAACAGAATATACTTTCATCATCATTCAACACTTTCATCTCACTCTTGTCAGATGTCTTCATGAAATCCATTGAGAGCACATATGCATTTTAGTTTCCTTCCAATGGTTCTGTGATTCTGTGTGCTTGCTTTGCAAATGCAAGAGCCTCCCTAGCCTCCCAATCAAACCAGCTACCCCTTCCTTAAGCCCCAACCATATAATAGTTCATGTCACTGTCCCTGTTGATTGACTTGATTTTAATTTACTTGAATACTATTTACTAAAAGGTTAGACCAGTATGTTATTTAATTTAGCTGGTGATTCCTTTTTCGTAGTAAAATTTTAATGTTTACTTTCAGGGTTATTATGTTAAAGGTGGCTCCAAGTTTCTGAAGACTAAAGGTCTCGGTGAACAGGCTGTGAGAGCTGCCTTTCCTGAAGCCACCATTATCCGACCCAGTGATGTTTATGGTCAAGAAGATCGATTCTTACGGTCTGAAATACATTTTTCATAGCTGTATTTTTATTTTTAAATTTAGTTTAATAAAATATGAAGTGTTAGTGTTTGTGATATTAAGTTTACTAAATTTTTCAGTATGATAAAATACGAAGCGCTGTTGTTTGTGATAGTAGGTGTGCTAAATTTTCCAGTAATACAGTACAAGCAGCAACAGTGTAGTATGTATTAGTAATAGTAGTAGTAGTACAGTAGATCATCAATTATGTAGTACTGTTTAGGTGCCAAATGAAATAAGACTGCTGGATAATGTTGAAAGCTAATTAATACTGTAACTTATAAAAATTCTTGCATTTCAGGTACTATGCTGGTATATGGCGTCATCAGGGCCGTCTCCTCCCTCTGCCCAAAGCAGGCAAAGACATTTGGAAGCAGCCTGTCTATGTTAGTGACGTTGCACAGGGGATTGTCAGTGCCATGAATGATCCGGAAACTGCTGGCAAAATCTATGAGGCTGTTGGGTGAGTGCCAGCTCTATCAGTTTAGTATAAAAAGCAAATTGTAAAGTAAAAGGACACAAGTGCAACTAATGTGACATTTTATTGTGGCAACGTTTCGCTCTCCAGGAGCTTTATCAAGCCATTAAAGCTCCTGGAGAGCGAAACGTTGCCACAATAAAATGTCACATTAGTTGCACTTGTGTCCTTTTACTTTACATATTGTCGGTAATTCTACCAACTTTATTACAAAAAGCAAATTGCATTTAGTACCTTAACCCTTTCACTGTCATGACCCCCAAAATTAAGCCTTTAACTGTGGCACACCCAGAAATTAAAATACCTTTGTTTGTGCAGCATGATCTTGAAAAGTATTTTTTTCTTATAGATTGAAAGGGTGCATCTTTATAAATCAAATAAAAACTCATAATTTTATGAAGTATAAATTTAATCAAATAATCATATAAATTGAAGCAGATAATTATTTTTTTCCTATTTTTTTTACTGCTTTGGTCTTCTAACACTGTGTACCAAGAATACCAGTAATATTGCAATTGTTTCAAGTCCTAATACTTCTTAAAACATGGAAATAAAGTCAGTGTTTGAGTGCATTGGGTTATCCTAGGTTAATTATTTATATTTTATATTTGGGTTCAACATGCTGTTAGTATGTGAGCGAGGTAACATTTATGAAGGGATTTAGGGAAACAGTTAGCCAGACTTGAGTCCTAGAGTTGGGAAGTACAGTACCTGCACTCTAAAGAAAGGGTGGGGATATTTGCAGTTTTGAACTGTAGTACTAGGGCCCCTCTGGCAATACAGTGAAGGAGTGAGTGATGGTGAAAGTCTTTCTTACTTTTTGAGTCATCCTACCTCGGTGGGTGATGACATAAGAGATAATGGAAATCAAATTAATCCGTGCAAGACACCCCAAAGTATGAAAAAAAAAAAAATTACCACTTGAAATATTAATTTTAATACACACAAACTGAAGAAGACATGCACAATTACTACTCTACTAAGAATAGAATACATGACACTTACCTTTATTGAAGATCTGGTGATGAGTGATGGGATGGGAGGAGGGGAGAGTTTGGAAGTTGCTATTGTTTAGGAGGAGAATCCCCTTCCATTTGGACTTGAGGTAGCAAGTCCTTTTCTGGGGTTACTTCCCTTATTCTTTTAATGCCACTAGGACCAGCTTGAGAGTCACTGGACCTCTGTCGCACAACAAATCTGTCCATAGAGCTCTGTACCTCCCGTTCCTTTAAGACTTTCCTAAAATGGGCCATAACATTGTCATTGTACAGGTTGCCAACACAGCTTGCAGTAGCTGTGTCAGGGTGATTTTCATCCATAAAGGTTTGCAGTTCATCCCACTTTGCACACATTTCCTTAATCTCTTTTTTTCAATTCCATACTAGTTCTTGCCCTTTTTACCACAGGGATGGCACTAGAAGCTTTCTTGGGGTCTGTGGTGACTTATTTTGTAGTTACAAGCACTAATGTGAAATGTACCGAATATATGCATAGATGCGACCACACTGGCTGGCTTGTAAACACCGGCGCTGAGGCCACACGTGGGACGCCTCCCGGACGAATCACGTAAGGCGAGTGTTTTAGTGTGAGGCGAGGCAAAATTTTTGCGTTAAAATGTATCGTATGGCGGATTTAACGTAACGCAATGCCATCGTAAGGCAAGGGTCCACTGTAGTAGGGAAAAAGGTATTGTATTGTCATTATTTTGCAGACCTCGACGTTATGAACTCTCCGAACTTGTTGACTGGTTCCACCGTGTTATGCGGAAAGATGGCTACATGAGATATGACATGAAGTGGGACTTATCCTTCAAGTGGAAAGCACGTATGACTGAGTTTCTTCCATCATGGCCACTTAACACACTCACCAGGGATAAAGTAGAGAGGGTAAGTACTTTTCTTCTTTATAGATACAGTACAGTATGAAAGGCCACTAAGTTTGACAGATATGTGCATAATTTCTGAAGGATCATGTAATGCATTTTGGGATAAAAGATTGCAGATAGGTTTTATAAATCATGAAGTACTGTAAGGAGATTGGAACCATACGAGCAGCTCTGATGGCAGCTTTTTAGAATGATGACTACACTTACATTCAGGTCGATGACATGCCAATTAACCCTTTGACTGTTTTGGTCGTATATATATGTCTTACAAGCCACCGTTTTTGACGTATATATGCTCATAAATTCTAGTGGCTTCAAATCAAGTAGGAGAAAGCTGGTAGGCCCACATGTGAGAGAATGGGTCTGTGTGGTCAGTGTGCACCATGTAAAAAAGATCCTGCAGCACGCAGTGCATGAGAAAAAAAAACTCCAACCGTTTTTTAATTAACCCGTAAATGGTCCAAGCAGATCTATGTTCACATGTGTAGTGCTCCAAAAGTAGATCTACAGTTTTTTTTTACATATTTTCAAATATAACAAAAAAAAAGTAGATCAAAGTTTTTTTACACATTCTCAAATGTAAAAAAAAAAAAAAAAGATCTACTTTTTTTACATACTTTCAAATGTTGAAAAAACATATATATACGTTTGGACCGTTTACGGGTTAAAATTCCGACTTTGTGGTCTATTTTCGTATAGTATTTATGGTTGTATTCTCGTTTTCTTGGTCTCATTTATAGAATGGAAAACATATTATAGAAATAGAGGTGATTTTGATTGGTTTTACTATGAAAAGAACCTTGAAATGGAACTCACAGTAGAGAAAATGTTTGATTCTTGCTGATGTTCAAAAGTAAACAAATGGTCATTTTCCAATAAATGTCCAAGTAGCCATTCTAATATGCAGTCATGAATGGGTTGACATTATTTATACAATTATTACAATATTGCAGTAGTCTGCATAACAGTAAATCTTCTATTTTTTGTTTGAATAAAAATTCAAAATAGAAAGCAAGAGTAATATCAGAGGGGCCTGGAGACATGACTGATGAACAAAGAAAATGTTATTTTAGTGCCATGAATGTCTGCATTGTTCATTCTGGACCCTATTTTGAAATTGTCATATTTTTTAATTTTCGTGAAATTTTCCAAATTGCAAATTTCTGACCACATTATTGAGCAGTTGAAATCAGTAAATGGGCAGTTTCTTGTACTCAATTGATATAAAAAATGGAGTTCTAAGGAAATAACTATGAGTTTGGTCGACTGGAACAGTGGAATTAGCTGAAAATAGGGCTCAAAGTGGGCGAAATCGCCGATTCGTAAATATCGCCGCGGTTGCTAACTTCGCGAGAGCGTAATTCCGTCAGTTTTCCATCAAATTTTGTTCTTTTGGTGTCGTTACAATCGGGAAAAGATTCTCTATCATTTCATGAGATTTTTTTTTTCTACACCAGGAGACACCTCAGGATTTGGGGTTGTGACAGTCACGGGGTTAAAATCATAAGGGTAATTAATAATGAAAATAATGATGATACTAATATTAATAAATATAATAATGTTTCAAACAATTCTCAAGCAACTTTTACAGTTGTTGAGTTTTAATTCTTCTTAATGCCAGAGATAAAATTTTGACAAGAGAGGATAGAATAAAAAGCAAGAAACTCTACTTCACTCTTTCTTGGTAGTTTTATTTATTCTAGAACCAGATCAAAGGAACTAATCATCCTACATAAGTTAGGAGTATCAGTGTCCTATGGCTTAAAGTTTCTTTTATTACTTTATCAGCATTCTATTCCTTATTATGTTTTATTCATTGTTGCCACTGATACTGCATATGAAATCAGCAGGACATAAAAAAAAAAATGAAAAAATGTATATTCTGACTCATTTCCAGAGTTTTTCACAATGCTGGATAGGCACCTGGAAATCATTTTTGTGCAGTGTACAGGAGCAGCATTGCTAAAATTCATGTAGTCACTACACTTGTTTGGCATGTTTTCATAGACTGAATGGAATGTGGCTGCAATCTTAGAAAAAAGTAATAGCAATCATAGATGAAAGGGTTGAGAAAGAGTAGCTCTAGTCATCTTAAATGACCTTATGGTTTATAAAGCACATCTACCCAGTTTATTGCTAATATTGCAAAGTGCACGACCATTTCCCATATCTACTAAATCTAGCAACAAATGATACATGTGAGCCACCCACAAATGAAAGAAAGGTTGGCTTAAAGAAGATCACCTTAAGTGAATGATCAACTAGTTCAGTCTAGTTTGTCTTTCAATGATGATTTGTTTCTTATTTAATTGGATGTTGAGACCATACACTCTTTTATCCCTTACCTTTTTTTCACAACTCGCTACTATATATTGTTTCCCTTAATAATAATAATTTACAGAAACTTTCATTTTGTGCATTTAATCTGTCACTGTCATGCTTTTAAATTTCTCTTAATGTTGCATCCATGTGTAAACAGAGCTTGTTTTTGACCTGATTATACTGCAGTTTTGTCTTATTCTTAAATTTTTTTTATGGCTATTAAATCTTTACTCATTTACCAGTTTTCATGCATGACACTACTGGATTTTTATCATTTTTAGGCACCTTAATCAGGTATCATTTTATAACAGGAGAACTCTTAAATGATGTGATGTAAATAGTTCAGATCAATACCTGGAATCCTCCTTAAACATTTTTCAGGAAGCCGTGTCAGACACAACTACAGGTCTGCCAACTCTGGAAGATCTTGGGGTCACCCTTACAAAAATGGAGGATCGTATTGCATGGGAACTTAAACCATACAGATCTGGCAACTATTATGATGAAGAACTTGGGGAGTTTGAACCCCCAGAGCCTCCAAAATTTATTGCAGCAGCATGAACTCATGTACATTCTTTAAGTGACCCTAGATATTCTAAAATTCTTTGATATTTTAACTGCTATTCATTGTTGTCAATTTTTTTTTATAAACTGTTCAATGTGTAGTAAGTGAACAGTCACTCAGAAATGACAATACAGTAAATATTAATTTTTATTGGTGAAGATTTAACATCAAGAATATATTGATATGTAAATAGTGTTGTACAGTATTTGACTTTTTGCAGTTAAACTGATAAGATATTGTATAAATAAAATATTCAAGAATATTTTTTTTTGTGCTTAGCAGCAGCAGAGAAGGAAACGACCTGGAGCAGCCCTGAAAAGTAGATTTATATAAGCACATATTGTCAGATGTTCTTAGGATATATGGTAAGGCCTTACTAAAAATTCATATTGGAGGTTTAGCTCTCCAACCCACTCCTAATCAGTTTCAGTTCATCACTCTGGCTTAAAATGCTAAATGTGTGACTGTGATACAGGAATGAAAATATAGCAGTCTTATTTTAATGTGGGCTCACTGGGTCTCCATTTTCTGTTCATGCTTCAAGCATTTCTGTTGCCCTCATATATTATAGTATTTATTCAGTGCTGTCTGACCCTTATGGGTTTAGCACTCATTTATGATTATAATAATATATTTATTGACATGGTATGTTACAATTTCTTTAATTTTTCTTAATTGACAATCTAACCATATCAAAATTTGACTTAGTCATATGTAAGAAATCAACAGTTTGCTTCAGGACATGTTAAGCTTTCACATTAGAAACCAGACAAAAATAATTTGTTCACAATACACAAATTGTTATAATTTGTTCCATCGAATTTATTATGCATGCTGTATGACCACTGATGATTAAGTGCTTTGCCATAAACATTATAATTATTTACAAAGGGTACTCACCATCACAGCTTTCTGCTACAAAAAATAATGTAAAATTGTAAAAAAAATTTGGTTAATTTCCAGCCTATATTCTGATCTAAATTGTCTTTTGTATCCTTGTTGCTTAGAGGCTATTTTGAAAAAAAAATAGTAATTAGGAGTTAAAACAACATTCATTACTTTGACAAAATTCTTTAGATATTAACAGTTCATCAGTAAAATAGCAGGCTAAGTATTCACTCAAGCTGAGCATGTCCTGTAGTGATACCTTCTCAAAATCCCTCCTCCCCCTTTTCCCTGATTTTAATGACTATTACAATTCTGTATCATAATTTTTCAGGTCATACCTCAAATACAATTACAGTAGTACCTTGGTACTCGAACTTAATTCGTTCCAGAAGGCTGTTCGAGTACTGATCTGTTCGAGTACCAAATGAGTTTTTTCCATAAGGAATGACGTAAATTAGATTAATCCGTTTTAGACCCCCCAAAAATACACTTAGAAAAGCATTTTAACATGAAGTTTACAAGCCTAGCATGCTTTGAACACTTCCCTACCTCTATCAGCACTCATTCCAGGAGTGTTTTTTAAGAGATTGGAGTGCAGATGGTTTGCTTTTTCACAAATGAAGGTCTCAAACACTATCACCAGCTAACTGTTTTTCATTGATCCAAATCAACAACAATTTCTCAACCTCTTCAGTTGTTTGTGGTCTTTGTTTTGTAACCACTTTCACTCCTTTTGCAATATCAGCCTTTTTAATAGCCTCTTTATTTTTTAGTATCATAGAGATCGTAGATTTTGCCATATGAAACTCGGTAGCAAGATCAGACATGTGGGCACTGTTTTCATATTTTGCTATGAGTTCTTTTTTCATCTTTGTTGTGACTAACCAATATTCTTTTTGGTTGGCTGTTATCACTAATCTTCTTAGGCCCCATGGTTACTTATTTATACAAATAATACAGCCTCTTCTCACTTAACGATGAAGTTCCATTCCTGATACTGAGTTGGTAAATGAATTCGTCACTAAACAAAGAGCATAATATAATGGTAGTGGGTTTATGTCAGCCATCTTTCATATTGCTTTAATGTCACCCTTGTACCATTTATAACATGTTTAGTATGTTTTTAAATGTTTGTACAGTAGTGTACTGTACGGTATATTGTAATAAACAGAATAGAGGAAATCAGCTCTAATATACATTATTTAAGTACGCGCACTGGTCAGAGAGCCCGTTGTAAGTCCGAGTTGTTAGTAAATGAGTACATTGGTGAGTGAGGAGAGGCTGTTTTAAAGACACCAGAAAATACGAAGAAGAAACACAAAATAAGTTTACAGCGAAGTTATGGCAGGTCGTGCTTGTTTGGTCAAGTGTTGAGCAAACAGTCGACTACCAAGCGATTATTTTTTACCGAACAAAGCGTTCAAATACCGAATTGGTTAATTTTGATTTTTAAAACATTGGCCATTTCCCACCAAGGCATTGTGACCCAAAAAGAAAGAAAAAACTTTCATCATCATTCAACACTTTCACCATCACTCATACATAATCACTGTCTTTGCAGAGGCACTCAGATATGACAGTTCAGATGTCCCTCCAAACTGCCAATATCCCAAACCCCTCCTTTAAAGTGCAGGCATTGCATTTCCCATTTCCAGGACTCAAGTCCTGTTAACCAGTTTCCCTGAATCCCTTCACAAAATATTACTCTGCTCACATTCCAACAGCTCATCAGGTCCCAAAAACCATTCGTCTCCATTCACTCTTATCTAACATGCTCACGCATGCTTCCTGGAAGTCCAGGCCCCTCGCCCACAAAACTTCCTTTACCCCCTCCCTCCTACCTTTTCAGGAACAACCCCTACCCCACCTTCCTTCTCCAATAGATTTATATGCTCTCCAAGTTATTCTACTTTGCTCCATTTCTCTAAATGACTAAACCACCTCAACAGCCTTTCTTCAGCCCTCTGACTAATACTTTTAGTAACTCCACACCTCCTAATTTCCACACTATGAATTCTCTGCATAATATTTACACCACACATTGCCCTTAGATAAAAGTACCAACCACTCTAACTCTATATCCCCACCTGCTTTTAACATTTCTGTCATGATCCTGTCAGTTCCAGCTGCTTTACCTCCTTTCATTCTGTGTAATACCTCATGCACCTTCCCCACACTCGCATCTTCTTCACTTCTAAAAGATGTTATACCTCCCTGACCAGTTCATGAAATTACTGTCTCCTTTTCTTCATTGATATTTAAAAATTCCTCAAAATATTCCTGCCATCTACCCAATACCTCCAGCTCCCCATCTACTAACTTCCCTACTAGGCTTTCTTAACTTGTTTATCTCACTCCAAAATTTTTTCTTATTGTCAGCAAAATTTCTTGACAGTGCCTCTCCCACTCTATCATTTGCTCTCCTTTTGCACTCCCCTACCAATCTCTTCACCTTTCTTTTACTCTCCATATACTCTGCCCTTCTTATATCACTTCTGCTTTGTAAAAACCTCTCATAAGCTACCTTCTTCTCTTTTATTGTACCCCTTACCTCATCATTCTACCAATCACTCCTCTCTCTTCCTGCACCTACCCTCATATAGCCACAAACTTCTCCCCCATATTCTAATACTGCAGTTTTAAAGTTATCCCATTCCTCTTCAACCCCATCCCTACTACCCATACTTGTGCTAGCCCACCTTTTTGCCAATAGTTGCTTATATCTCACCCTAACTTCCTCTTCCCTTAGTTTATAAACTTTCACCTCTCTTTGTTACTTACTGTTACCATTTTCCTTTTGTCCCATCTTCCTCTTACTCTAACTAGCTACAACTAGATAATGATCCAATATATCTGTTGCCCCCTCTATAAACATGTACATCCTGAAGCCTACCCATCAACCTTTTATCCACCAATACATAATCTAACAAACAACTTTCATTATGTTCTATAACATATCTTGTATACTTACTTATCCTCTTTTTCATAAAATATGTATTACTTATTACCAAACCTCTTTCTACACATAGTTCAATTAATGGCTTCCCATTTTCATTTATCTCTGGCACCCCAAATTTACCTACAACTCCCTCTACATCATTTTTACCCAATTTAGCATTGAGAGCCCCAACCACAAGTACTCTAATCTCACTTTGTTCAAAACTTCCCATGCACTCGCTCAACATTTCCCAAAATCTCTCCCTCCTCTACGCCTCTCTCTTCACCAGGTACATAAACACTATAACCCCCTTTTCACATGCATCCTTTATTTTACTCCACGTAATCCTTGAATTTATACATTTATATTCCTCCTTTTCCTGCCATAACTTATCCTTCAACATTATTGCTATGCCTTCCTTAACTCTAACTCTGTTAGAAACCCCTAATCCCATTTATTTCTCCTTTATTTCTGACCCCTTATCCAGGCACTGTATGATCCTTACAGGTTTAGTGCTTCACCACATAATAATGTTTACAGTATTTATTACTGTTGAAATGCTGTACATGTAGGGTGTACAGTGTCTAGGCAGTAACTAAATTTTAAGGAATGGAGGGAAGCCCTAATTCCTGGGATCAAAGACCCCTTTATTGGCACAAAGATAACCCACTCAGAGGGATCAGTCTGCCTAAAAACAGTGGATGTAATTTTAGGGCTATTTGCTGTGGTAAACATCGTGAACACATTGAAAATTTTCTTTAAATCTGTATTTTACATGGGCCATAGACTCAATGTGCAGGGCAATGAACAGGCGGATGCTGCTGCGCGGTCAGTGGTATGTGATCTTCCGGTTTCCTATAGAGGTATTCCGTTCAGAGATTATTTGTCATCCCTGCCCATCTTCATGGCCATTGGCAACAACAGTGGTCGGATGTGCACCATAACAAATTGCACCACTGTTTAACTGCTTTTAGGTTTGTGGCTGTCGTCTTACTATGGTTGCCGTACTTGGGAGACTGCGTTCTGCCTTCTCCACATAGGCTATACTCTCCCTACCCATGGGTATCTCATGGAACGACACCCTATTCCTCTGTGAGGTTTGTCGGGTCCCAATTTTGGTTCTTCACTTCCTTGTGGATTGTCCGGTTTACCAGCGAGCTCGCAGGATTTACCTCCACCGACACCACTGCTCTACCGCTCTTGCCTTATCTTCCCTTCTTGCAGATGGCCCTGCCTTTGACTTTTGATCACTTTGACTTTGTCAGCAACTGCTTTACTCTATGAACTTGACACACAGCCCCTAGTATCCCTTCCAGCCCTTTTCTCCCCTCACTTCTGATCCCCCCTCCACCTAGTTGTTTATAACCCTGAGACTATTTTCTGCTTTGCAGCGCTGCATGACCTTTGTCGGTTTAGCGCTTTATTTGATTATAATA